AAGAGCAGCATGCTCGGATGTCGCGCCGTGCAGTCGACATTTCAGTCCTAAGGTCCTCCAATGCATTGACATCTGAGGGCATCTCTGCTTTGCTGCCGAGTTGCGCAAAGCTACAGATGCTGGAGACCGTGCAGCCACAGTGTTGTGCTCAATATCTTGAGGGCCACGTGTGACCGTTCTGTCATGTTTGATGGGTGGTTGTGTTGGCTGCTTCAGCCATGGGTCCTTGCATTCATAAAATACAACGGCTGAACTTGAGCGGCGCAGGACATCTCTGAAACGGGGTGTCGAGGAGAGCTTATCCACGGTAAGCTGTGCGAGCTTTTGCAGCGGCTTGGCTGCACCGGCGTGGGCCACCTCTTGGCCCTCGCTAGCAGCTAGCACATTTTGGCCACAACGGTCTTCCGCCTGCGCTGAAGAGGAAAGCGGACCGCCTGGCCTCCCTGTCCATCGCTCACAACGTCCTCGAGCCGCGGCCGATGCGCCGCATTGCTCGCAGCATCTCCTCCTGCGCGTCGCCCCTTGCTTTAGCAGAGCTTTAGGACTTTGCCTTGGATTCTCGGGTCTTCCTGTGTGTTTGCTACCTTGGATCGTTCGAGGGTCAGAGAGTCTTTGTTGTGTCTGGATATATTTTGAACTTTGGATCCCTTGAAGATCCTTGAAGTCTAGGTTGCTGTCCTTAAACATCGCTGGCACAGCGATTGAGACAGAGGGCGTCCTGGCCTTGGCAGAGACTCGGCAAAACTGCCCCAACAGCCTGCAGCGAAAGACTGTTTACCGTAGCCTTGCATGAAAGACCTCTTGCCAGACATGTATGCCGCTGGCAGCATGCATGTAGGACGGCTTGCTGAACTCCCACACCACGTGCTTGCGCGAGTTGGACATGTCCGAGAATGGTATCTCGGAGGCTGAGGCTTGCGACCCGCAAATTTCCCGATGATTCGCAAAATCAAGCGCAGTGCTGTAGACGGCAAGCTTCTTCTCGGTCAGAGGCACTTGCTAGCCTCGGCAAGATCATCGCGGGCACAGCGTTGCAGACTCTGCGATTGAATCGGAATCCGCTCGGCAATGCAGGCCACAGTTCACGAAGAGATATATACCTGGACAATGGCCACTAAGTATGTTCTTCCGAGAGTTCTCTCTCCGTAGAAAGTGTTCGTTTATGGGAGCACCAAACAGGAATTTGTCAACTCGCAGATTCGCTGGATGCCGACAGTTGCTCCTTGGCCGTGAGACCCTCTCTTTCGAGCTTCCGGTAGGTGCCAGTTTTGTTGAAGCCCGGAATGCATCCTTTGGTGGGTTTATTTGCGTAGTCCTTTGTGCTAGCATAGGCTCTCCAAAACTATTGCCACTAGTGTTGCTGCGCATACGCCGTTGTAACACTACTGCGGCTACTGTGGCAACAATGACAGCTATAACTACTTCGGCCCCACTACTTCCTACTTACTACTGCGGTTACTTACGACGACCACGACGACTACCGCCACCACGACCACCACCAACAACACCTCCTACTACTACTTCTACTGCTATTACTACTACTACTACTACTACTACTGCTACTGCTGCTAATTCCTATACTGTAGCAGTTTGGATAGACCGAAATGGTTGTTCACATCGAAGGTCCACCGGATGGTCCAGTACTTCGCACACTGGAGCTGGGAAGCTGCCGTATTGGGCGACCAGGGGCAACCTTTCTTTTGATTCGCTTGAGGTGTGGGGCGAAATCCTGTGGAATGGTTGTCAGCTATTTTCAAGAGATTGTACCAGGGCATCACTTTTCAAAAGGTTCCAAACATTTGCAATCGCTGGCGTCGCCCTGGCAGGGACAATCGTCGCCTTCTACAATTGAGGCTGCAACTTGACATTCCGCTTCAGTGCGAAGAGCTCGCTGCCCCCGTAAACTGCCTAGGTCATCAGGGAATGACGATTGCGGTATGCCTTGCCTAGGTCAGACAACTTTCTTGATGATTCTCTGGACATGACGCACATTGAGGCAGCCTCTATTATTTGCTATTTAAGGAGGCTTCCTCCATAGCGAGCCGGATGCGGAGCTCGTTGCTGTCACTGGAATCCGTGTTCTGCCTGAGCTGTAAATGTGATCAGGCTTTGCGATACATCCAGTACCTCCACCTGGACAGCAACAGGCTCGAGCTCCACAGTTACGCTTCGGTGTTTTCCGCGGTCCTGAACGTACCTTTCGATGTCTCTTTGCTGAAGGCTTTCCCTTCGCAATTTGACACGAGCCAGCCGAGTTTGCGCCAAGAATCGCTTCAGAGTCCAGGATCAGGAGATTCCTGCGAACACAGAATGAAGATAGTGGAATGACTGACCGAGCCGAGTGTTCGTCGCTGCCCCCCTCCATCCAGGAGCCTCGAGCGCTGCGGAAAGAGATTCGGCACTTGCAGGTTGAGGAGGTGAAGCTTCGAGAGCACAAGCATCAAGCCGCAAAGGACGCGTGGGCTTCGGACAAGAAGTAGAAGGTAGAAGCATGTCTGTCATTCTTTGAAATTTAGAGCCGTGTTTGGTGGAGTGAGCGTTATTGGAGATGGCGGGCACAAGCAAGCCCGAGACTCCTCAAGTCCACCACAGCCGACACAGCCTGGCCGCCAGGACTCAGCAGAGATTTTCGTCAGAATGAGCGCAGAGAACATTGCCGCAGAAGAGCTTCGACAGCTACGGCTGGGGATGCTTGACTGCGCGCTGCAAAGGGCAAAGGAGATTCCTGTGCATGTTCTGGTCGTTGGGTGTAGCACCTGCGCCCCTAGTGCTGAAGTTGCAGGCGTCCACCTGAGTGTCACAGGTGCACGAACAAAGCCTTCCCTCTTTTTGCAACCAGACGGTTGCCAAGGATGGCCTCTATGAAACTGAAAGCCACTGCATCACGACCGGCTTGCTAAGGATCATGAAGTCTGCTCGCCAAACTGAGCAGAAAGTCGCAAGTGTGGAGCAGAAGCTGAAAGAGCGAGAAGCGTACATGGAGAAACTCAAGGACGGGATGTGCATACTGAATTAGTTGTACCATGGAGAGTATTGGGACGCACATTCTTGCTCTGTCCAGAATGAAGTCCCGGCATGAAAGCATCAGGAATAAAGACCCGGGCCCGTTCCCCATGCTGACGGCTAATGGTGTAACGTGCTGTCAGGATGCCCTTGAGCGGACAGCACACGAGAATGAACTCGCATCTCGACGTTTAGCGAGAATTTTGGGCGTTGCAAGAGCTGGCAGCTTAGGCCATCGCCGAAAAGAGACACGATCTGGAGGACAAGGAAGCAGAGCTGATGGAAACATGGCGTTGAGCTTTCAGAGACCCTTCGTGTCCCCCAACAGGGCAGCAGAAAGCTCTCCGCCTCCAGCCCAGGAGCTGCAGGCGCGGCTCCGCGACGTTGAGGCCCAGCTGGCCAGGCGACGTGCCCAGCACCCGAAGCAGGTGGCAGCGCCTGGGATCTCAAAGCCTTGTGTAAGTTATGTAGGAGGATGCGGAAAGCTCTCTGACTCTAGTTCTGACGTTCCGGGAAGTCACCATTGGAGCAGTGAAGAAATGTGCATTACGACAGCGCGGTGGGGGGTATTTAAAGTCAACAGGGAACAGTGGAACGGTAGCAGGTAAGGCACAGACCGAGTGGAACGATTGGAACAAGCTGATTCATTGGCGCCCCCAGAACAGTGCGACCGCGCAAGGGAGGGGGCGAGGAATTGAAGTCGTCCGCGCCATTCGCGTCACTCGCGCCACTCGCGCCGTAGACGAAAGGAATGAGTGGAGCACGTAACGTACAGGGCGAGTGGAACGACTGGAACGGTCGGAGCGAGTGGAACGAGTGGAACAGACGGATTAGCGCCCCGCCCACGCCGACACTCTCGAAACGTGGCCCAAGCCAGGCCAGGCGAAAGTTGTTTCGATTCACGAAGGTGTCATTGGGCTTTTGGAGTGATGTGGTTGATTGTTGCTGGTTTTTTTAAGCTGCGTCTGCTGATCCATAAGGAGATCAACGAAGAGATTTCTGCTGCTTTGCCGAAGACGGAGGCACGCAGTCTGAGCCCTGAGCCATGCCCCGAAAAGAGCACTCGGCATCTCGAGGCCACATGTTCTCCCTGTGGTCCACTTGTTGCTGTCAAGATTATGTACCGAAGCTGAGTGCATGTTGAAGGTTGTTGAAGCATCGGATCTGGACACATGCTCGTACTCGTACCCTTTGATTGCGAAGTGCAGGAGTTCAAGTCCAACCAGGAGGATATGCGGAAAGAGTTAAAGAAGCTCCAGGACCCTTTAGGGTTTTGCCCACTCTTCAGTGATGGCATTGCTCTAAGTGTCAACAGCCGGCGAGCACAGCGTAGGGTGTGGGTTTGCTTCTGCGGGGACCTGCTCGTGCATGTTTGCCACTGTCTGCAGCACCCCGAAACAGGGATAAGGCAAAACATCGCTTGGAGACCTCCGAGGGAAAGTCCCATGCCAGAGTAGCCCCTGACTTGTCACTGAGGAGAAGACGCTTATCGATTTCAAGCCGTGAGGTCAAGCGCCTCAGGTGAAAGGCTCCACAAGCCGGACATGTCTAGATCCGTTTTGAAGGCGCAGGCAAAGCGCATGGCGAGAGCTGTGCATCCTGCAAAGTTGTGTTTTGATACCAGGCGGAGATGCAAGACGCATCATCGTCACAATGAGAATGAGAGCATGCTGTACCAAAGCAAATGCATGGTTTTAAAATGTTTTATACATCCAAGCACCTGGTTCAGTACGTTAAACGCCTAGTTTCTTCAGCTCGACCCACCACTGCTTTGGTGCTGAGATATGCGACTACTCCCTACTCCTCATTGCGCGTTCAGATCCGGAGTTTGCAGAGCACGAAAAGCAGGTGGCCATGTCGCATAGTGATCAGCAGGCAGGCGCTAGGCCGCTAGTTAGTCTGGCCAACGCGACATCAAAGCTTGCCAAGGCCAGCACTTCTGCTCTCAAAGCTGAGGCAGTTTGAGGGGGTGCGTTTACGCCTCCACGCGCAGAGCCATGGCCATGCCTGCTGAGAGGATCGATGCCTCCGACTTTGAAGTGAATGGGCGACTTTCCGACGCCCGCCGAGCAAAGCTGATGGACTTGAAGAAGAGAGAAGACTTGAAGGATCAGCTGACTGAGAAGTTCAAGAACCGTTTCGGACATGGTGCCTGCAAGGAAGCTGACGAGGTGTCTGTGAACTCAGCCATGATCCGAAAAGAAGTGGAAAACTTCGCACGGAAGGCGCCAGTCACAAACAGCAATCTCGATCGCTTGGAGCGTCGCATCCAAAGCCGTGCCCAGGGAAGGGCATTGGATGATGCTTCCACCGTCTCCAAGGCTATCAGTGGTGTGAGCCAGTACACTGGCTTGAGCCAGCGAAGCCGTAGTGCTACCTCTTTGGTTGGGCAACACCTTGTCGCTCCGAGACGGAAGCATGACTGGTCCAAGCTTGATGACTATGCTTCGTACTTGCATGAGCAGGATGCGCTTCGTCAAAAATTGGGCGTCCAAGCGCTGCAAAGGAAGATGAAGTTGGACTTGGATGCCCAGGTGCAGGACAAGCTGAAGAGAAGGGACGAGGCATTGGAGGAGGAGAAGAAGCATCACGAAAACACGCTGCTTGAGCTTGAACGCTGGAAGCAGCAAGAGAAGGAGCGAGAGGAAGAGAGGCATCAGCGAATCCAGAAAGAGAAGGAGGACCGTGATGAGCAACTCCGGTATGAACGACTTCTCAAGGACCAGGAAGAGCAACGAAAGAAGGATGAGGAGGCACAGCTAGTGGAGAAGATCGTCAATGAGATGGAAGCAGACCAGAAGCGATTCGAGAAGAAGAAAGAGCAGACCAAGCGGGCCATGCGCAAGGTCTTCGAGCAGAACAAGCTAGATCAGGTGAAACGAGACGAGGCTGCCAGAGAGGCCAAGGAGAAGGAGGCAGCAACGATCAAGGAGTTCAATCGGCTCCTGGATGAGCAGGAGGAGGCCAAGGCCAAAGAGCTCCACGACCGTATGGCTCGGCAGGCAGAGCTCATGAAGAAGCTTCAGGACAATGTGAACACCATGAAGCAGGAGTCGGGTGACACCGACGAAGCCCGTGCACGTGCACAGCAGGACGAAGCCGATCGCCATTATTTTGAGGCCGAGTCTATTAAGCAGCAGCGGCTCAAGCAGATGAAGCTCGAGAACCAGGCTTACCTTCTGAAGCAGATGCATGAGAAAGACGGCCGCAAAGATGATGATAAGTACTTGACCGCAATCCAGGCCCAGATCATGGATCGCGACACGCAAGAGTTCAATGCAGTGGAGAAAAAGAAGATCATCGATAGGAAAGAACGCAGCTTGGCAAACCAGAAAGAAATCATCAAGCAGATGGAGTGGAAGGCGGCACAACGTGAGATTGAAATGTCTGACACCGAAGTTGCATTGAACAAGCCTTTGCTCGAGCTTGTGGACCGTACACTCGACCAGCGAGATGAGAACATGGAGCTGGTCGCACAGATCGAAGGCTGAAGGACAAGATGTAGTTCGGAATTTCGTTTCAGCTACCAGTGACCAGGCTGGTGGCTACAAATGCTTGGCTGGGAAGATATCAACCGAGCAATTCGTATCACCTCGCTGGCTTCGCCGCGACTTAGGATTTGGCTTATGTCACCCTTGTGTTCAGAGTTTCACACTCAAAACTCACAACCACTGTGAACTTGCACGCGCAGCAAAACTATTGGAAGCGCAGAACCTGCAGCCGAAAACGCGAACTTTGCAAGGCGACTGCCCATCTTCATCTTTTGTTGTCGAACCTTCTGCATTGGTAACCTTGAAACTTGAATCTTCTGAAAGTTGAAAGATATCTCTGGTGTCAGGGTGACAGCCCCCGCAGTCCTCGCATTCGAAGCCCTCGGAATGGCGATGCCCGGTCCTCACAAGGGTCATTACAGACCGCGGCGAAGTGTCGGTGTTGCTTCCCGTGTGCCTGAACTGTCAGATGTGGCCCGAGTATGTCGGCGTCTTCTTCGGTTTGTGTGACATGCGCGTCGTCTTGGGAAACTCTGGCAATCGACTCTCGAGCACCGTGGCTTCAACCAGAGCACACTGTACTGTAAGCGATGCACGGGGATGAATCCTTGCAGAAGATAGTTTGGAGGGAATGTGGTAAAGACCAGCAGCTCCAATTCAAGGCAAACGATTTGCCTCCCTGATTTGTAGATTCGTCCTTTGCTCGATGCGAGGTTACGTGTGCGCAGTACCTTGGCTTATCTGGCTAGTCTGAGTTGGCGGAGGAGCATCGCTACAACACCATTCGATTGATGAGGTTCGTCTCGACATCTTTGACCCGCAGTCGGCAATGTGGATGACCGTCCTCGAGAATCCCGCGCAGGAGTAGCTTTGAGGGCAAGATCCCTCCTCGCCACCACAGTCCACATGCAGGAGCTCACGCCAGGTGGAGCCCTGCTGGGATCACACGAAGCCGTAACCTTCCACCGCTTCAAGGCGAGCTCGGACTAGGGCCTAGGGATTAATGCAATGTGACTCACAAACTTTGACAGGAGTTGGTTAGCTCCGCAGTTAGCCACGACCGAAAGCTCCTAGTGAGAGTTATGGTGCCGGGCACCTATGTGCTGCAGGTTTTGCCGTTGACTCGGATGCAGGGGTGCTCATGCCCTGCCGTCACACGCCGAGGTCTGACATCGGCTGCTTGCGGCTGCAGCAGTTTGAAGATACTCCTCCCACGCAGTACGGGGGTTATTAATTCAAGAGTGTGGCAACCACCTCGGCATGAGTCATCACCTGCAGGGGCCGACTGGATCTTTGTAGCTCAGGGTTGATTGTTGTCAGTGGTGCGGACTCTGCTGCCCATGGCTTTCCCAACATCCCACGCGGTGTTGTTTCAGGCTTCCGTTTCGAAGGCTGTCAATTATGTCAATGCCAACTGCTGATCAGAGCCTGTGCAAGCCTCTGCTTCAGAGAACGAAGTCCGCCGAGTTGACAGTTCAGAGAGCAAGACAAACTTCTGGGCACTTCCTCGGTGTTCGTCCCCTGTCTGCCAGCAGCAACTTCCAGCAAACGCCAAGCAGAATGTGGAGCCAGTGAAGTCTTCCTCAACACTGAACTGTTTCGCAACCCAAATGGAAGACATACATCTTGTCTTCTTGACCTCACTGCTCTGCACAATTGGTTGCAAACAGTGCAGCCAGCCAGGTAGGTGCATGCGTTGAACAAGGGCCGAAATCCTCGGCTCAAGTGGACTCTTTGTGTGTTCTTCTTCTTCTTCTTCTTCTTCTTCTTAGGCAAGCATCTTCAAAACCGCACCCATGCTTTCGGATCGTGTGTTGGGAAGACTTGCTACTAAGCTTTGCCAGTGTACCTCTCATTGCACCGGTTTAACATGTAACTGCTAGAAATGTCCATGTGATTGATTGGTAGTCAGTACGAGTGACATCCAGCGGCTGATGTCGAAAAGGTTCTTTCATCGTCAGTTCTGCTCATCGTGCCAGATGGCGCATGCGATGGGGCCAAGAAATGCGTCAAGGAGAGGACAGACTCACTGGCACAGGTGCCATTCCCGTATCCAACTTCGAGAACCGGCGCTTACGCTTGGTGCAGCCAGATGATTCTGTAGGAAGCCGGGAGCCTGATCACCTTGTGCAACACAAGTCATAACCGAACGACGACAAGCAGTCGAAAGGCTTCCTTCACCTGGCCCTCCCGAACCTCATCATCCACGAAATTGACCAGTGCAGCCCTTTGTGCCCAGAGGCGTGCAGAGTCGATGTACAACTCTGATGTGCATGCTCAATACATGCTTCAAAGCTTAGACGGCACATCCTGTTGTGAAAGGCAAAGAGAGCCACCTTCCCAGGCCGCATCGAGAAGTCCGATTCGCAAAAGTCCTGAGAGTAAATGCCGAAAGCCTTGTCGGTTTCCAGCCGCAAAACTGGAACTTGTAGACTATGGCCTTGTTTTTGTCCGGGCTGCGCGCAAAAGGCCCATTCGTGCTTAGCCCTGACCACAATGCTTCCAGTGGAGCACTCAGATACGCAATGTTGGCAGGACAGCTGTGAAGTTGCAGAAGTTGTGCCATGGTTTCTGCAGAGCTGACCAGCAGGCTCCTCCACCTGCAAGGGGTGGTCCTTGACAAAGTATCAGATAGAGGCAGGACGGCCAGACAATGCAAACATTGTTCTTTCAGAAAACTGCTCCTGCATCACGGTTAGGAACATCTCAACCAAAATCGCGTCGAGGCAAAGCTTTGGGCAGCAAGGGGCCACGGGACCACTGTGTGCTAGGAATGCTAGACTCAGACAGCAGAGATCAACAAATCGCCGGTGATTAATTCAAGTTGGGAACGATGGCAGGTCGTCTCCTTGATCGAGGGAATGGAGCCCATTACATCTGCATGCACACAGGGACGCATGTCCTATTCCTACGTGCTGGAGGCCGGTGGGAAACATGAAGGAAACCACAGCAGAAACATCGTAAGCAGTGCCATGCCATGAACTGCCTGTATTATCTACTGGTACAAACGTGATTGAACGTTTCTTGCCATCACTGCTTACACTGGTTCTGCGAGCAAAGCCAGGATGTGCTGTTTGATTGCGCGTTCGCCCCCTGCGTGCTGCGTCATCCTGGCTGCACTTCGGCCTTGCCTTTTTCGGCAATTGACTTGCCCGAGGAAGTGCAGCATGCATGCCTCTTGTCAGAGCCGTTACTCCAACCAGAAATGTTTCCAGGTGATCCAGCTGGCACACTTACAGTGGATTTCAACCGCTTTCAGGACAGGTGCTTTTGATACTGATACAGCCCGCAGGTAACGAATGGCCTCACCCTGACGTGACCAGGAGTTGATCCCTGCTCCGCCAGCACAGTCAGTGTACGTCCGGCGCTTTTCACTCTCGCGCACGGTTTCTTCCACTTGGGAGCTTGGCTGAGCCAAGGAGATCCTGCCCGGAAGCTGCGGAGGCTGACATTGCCCGCATGCGGGCGTGTTCCATGTCATGCCGGCCACGGACATCGAGCGAAGAGACAAAAGGTCTGCGTGCAATAATTCCGAAATGCCAATGTATGCCAAGATGTTGCGGCCTTTGGCGCCTGAATGTATCGGTGCACGCAAGAAGGTGCACACGTGTTTTGTTAATTAGATCCCTTTAATTCCTTCATGCAATTGAGGACGAAGTGCCACTTCACGTTTCGCCGTCGTTGCTACGGTCTTCAGCTCTAACATAGGTTTCACAAGCATTATGGTCTAGAAAACGCACAGAAAGCACTTGACATCCCACTGTGCACTGCCACATAAAGCTCTAGGTGCAGTGATCGCATGTTGATTCGGACCTCGTGCCACAGTTGTCAGAAGTTCTCACTTCGACGTTGGCGTATGGACTGCCGGATTTTCCGAGATTGATGTTCCAAGCATGCATTGTGTCTTTGCATCTCGTCACCCCGGCCAGTGGAAATGTTCCACAGCATTGTCTCACAGAGCCCCTCTGTAAAGGCAAGGTCCTGTGGGTTGTGCGCAAATTCATAGCATCATGCGTTGAACTTCGGCGGAAGATCAACCCCACCTTGCCTGGGTTAAGAGTAGATACAGGTGAGCCCCCAAGGCTCAGCCTGATGTCAGTTGCGAACTCGTATTTCTGCGAGCTCAGCAAGGACCCCCGTCACCAGAGGAATGAAGCCGCCTCAACTACAAGTAAGGGCTAGGAAACCGCATTGCTCGCTCGTGCTGATGCGTTCTGCATCGAATTCGCAGCTTTTCTGTAGGAGGTAAAGTTTACACACAGATCCAGGAGGTCAGAAGGCCAAGATTACATCAATCTTTTGCGCGTCGGCGCCACTTCCACGGCTTCTTTCATGAATCGAGACCAGGATTACTTCATAGGTGCCAGAGCGTCGTCCAAGCTGTGGTCGGCTCCGATCATGTCAAAGTCACTTTGCCATTGCCGCTAAAGCTTGGTTCGAGCCGACACAAAATGGCCAGAACCTACTCAAGAGCACCCGACAGCAAGCCACATGCCACTTCGCAGAGCAGTAGGTTCGGTATTGGAGCTGACTAGGACAACCCATCCCGCCATGTCAAAGCATGACGGGGAAAGTTTCCGCGTTGTTCACAAACGTGTCGCGGTCCGAGCTCTGCCCTCCACAACTGCAGAGATCGTGGGCGTTGAAGTCCTCGGAGCCGTATTCTCCGGGAAGCGCGTTCAGGTGAAAGGCGAGCTCTGGGTGCGAAGAGATCTGAACAACCGGGAAACGTGGATGCTTGTAGACGGCTCTCGGTTAGGCCTGGGGAGGCTGCTTGAAGCGATAACGGTCCCATCGGCCCCGCCACCCGTCAAGAGTGAAAAGAAGGAGGCCAAAAATTCCACAGGCAGCACAAGCAACCCAAGCCCGAGCACTCAGAAAGTTCCGATCGGGTTGATCGGCGAGAGACTGTGGCATTCGCCGCTGCACGAGCTGCCCAGGCCTGAGTGGGCACCTCGACACGGCTACTATGCCTTATCTGGCGGTTTGTCTGCAACTGGTTGGCGCAACATCTGGGTGTTCGGAGGCATCATTCCTGGCCTGGGCTATTCTGATGACGTGTGGCGCACCGTGAACGGCGGTGCCAGCTGGGAGTTAGTCGTTGCTGGGATTCACTGGAGCCCAAGATCTGACTTCGGCTGTTGTGGTGGCTCCACTGCACCTGAGCCACGACCGAAAGGAGTAATTTACATCGTCGGCGGCCAGGGAGGTCCGGGATTGCTTCCCGATGTTTGGGCCTCGGACACCGCTGGCAGAAAGTGGTCCCGCATGTGCGAGAAGGCACCGTTCGGCTCCCGTACGGGAGTTGCGTGTGCCACAGTACCCTCACGCCCTCTGGTGCTGCTCGTAGCCGGCGGCGTCTCTGACGACGTTCATCGCGATCTATGGGTCAGTCAGGACGGGGGTGTAAGTTTCGATTGTCTCATGCTCACCATGCCAATCGGTCCAACATTAATGAAGTGGCCTCCACACTTACTCTGTGCTGCCAGAGCACAAAGTGGCCAACTTGGGTTGTGGTGTCTGAGGCTGAGAGGACTGACGGATCCTCTTGAAGACACCTCTAAGAACCGTCTTTGCCAACGTGGAGATGAAGTGAACGGCCTCGTTGCGGAGCTGGAGCCTTTGGACGAATTTTCACAAAGCTTTGATTGTGAGTGCTCACCAGATTTTCCCAGGCCTCCGCGAGTGGGGCTGGATCTGGAGGCTAGGGTCGCAGTCCATCTTTCTAGGCATGGCTTACAGGGTCAGTGTTTGCCAAACCCTGAAGTACCTGACTCCATAAGCATGGCCATGGACTGTTCTCCGTGGGCCCTCGAGAACATCTCGTGCGTTGCGCCTCCGGAATCCTTTGTTGTTTGCGACATGGACGCTGCATATACGAGAGGTCATGGCAAAGTGCATGTTCTCACAGAAGATCGCTGCTTCACCTCCGATCGCTGTCAGTATAAGTTGCAAGACCGCTTCTTGAAGCTGGTGGGCCTTCGGCTGGCAGCAACGGTGGGTCTTCCGATGGACCTGTGGCTGGGCCGCGTGAGACCTTTGTTGTTGCCGCGCCCTCGCCGAATTGCCGGATTCGCTCGCCCCTTGGGCGAAGCCCCCAAGCCATTGCCATGAAGCGCCGTGGCACAATTTTCTGAAGCGCCGAGTGCATCATCACCTGTATAGCTTTAACCTCGGCAGCTTTAGCTTGCCGCCGTGGGGCGCTTTTCCTTAAAAAGGTAATTGGCTTGCCAA